GGGCCCCCGGGGCACCAGTGTGACAGCTCCGCCGAGGGCCCCCGGGGCACCAGTGTGACAGCTCCGCCGAGGGCCCCCGGGGCACCAGTGTGACAGCTCCGCCGAGGGCCCCCGGGGCACCAGTGTGACAGCTCCGCCGAGGGCCCCCGGGGCACCAGTGTGACAGCTCCGCCGAGGGCCCCCGGGGCACCAGTGTGACAGCTCCGCCGAGGGCCCCCGGGGCACCAGTGTGACAGCTCCGCCGAGGGCCCCCGGGGCACCAGTGTGACAGCTCCGCCGAGGGCCCCCGGGGCACCAGTGTGACAGCTCCGCCGAGGGCCCCCGGGGCACCAGTGTGACAGCTCCGCCGAGGGCCCCCGGGGCACCAGTGTGACAGCTCCGCCGAGGGCCCCCGGGGCACCAGTGTGACAGCTCCGCCGAGGGCCCCCGGGGCACCAGTGTGACAGCTCCGCCGAGGGCCCCCGGGGCACCAGTGTGACAGCTCCGCCGAGGGCCCCCGGGGCACCAGTGTGACAGCTCCGCCGAGGGCCCCCGGGGCACCAGTGTGACAGCTCCGCCGAGGGCCCCCGGGGCACCAGTGTGACAGCTCCGCCGAGGGCCCCCGGGGCACCAGTGTGACAGCTCCGCCGAGGGCCCCCGGGGCACCAGTGTGACAGCTCCGCCGAGGGCCCCCGGGGCACCAGTGTGACAGCTCCGCCGAGGGCCCCCGGGGCACCAGTGTGACAGCTCCGCCGAGGGCCCCCGGGGCACCAGTGTGACAGCTCCGCCGAGGGCCCCCGGGGCACCAGTGTGACAGCTCCGCCGAGGGCCCCCGGGGCACCAGTGTGACAGCTCCGCCGAGGGCCCCCGGGGCACCAGTGTGACAGCTCCGCCGAGGGCCCCCGGGGCACCAGTGTGACAGCTCCGCCGAGGGCCCCCGGGGCACCAGTGTGACAGCTCCGCCGAGGGCCCCCGGGGCACCAGTGTGACAGCTCCGCCGAGGGCCCCCGGGGCACCAGTGTGACAGCTCCGCCGAGGGCCCCCGGGGCACCAGTGTGACAGCTCCGCCGAGGGCCCCCGGGGCACCAGTGTGACAGCTCCGCCGAGGGCCCCCGGGGCACCAGTGTGACAGCTCCGCCGAGGGCCCCCGGGGCACCAGTGTGACAGCTCCGCCGAGGGCCCCCGGGGCACCAGTGTGACAGCTCCGCCGAGGGCCCCCGGGGCACCAGTGTGACAGCTCCGCCGAGGGCCCCCGGGGCACCAGTGTGACAGCTCCGCCGAGGGCCCCCGGGGCACCAGTGTGACAGCTCCGCCGAGGGCCCCCGGGGCACCAGTGTGACAGCTCCGCCGAGGGCCCCCGGGGCACCAGTGTGACAGCTCCGCCGAGGGCCCCCGGGGCACCAGTGTGACAGCTCCGCCGAGGGCCCCCGGGGCACCAGTGTGACAGCTCCGCCGAGGGCCCCCGGGGCACCAGTGTGACAGCTCCGCCGAGGGCCCCCGGGGCACCAGTGTGACAGCTCCGCCGAGGGCCCCCGGGGCACCAGTGTGACAGCTCCGCCGAGGGCCCCCGGGGCACCAGTGTGACAGCTCCGCCGAGGGCCCCCGGGGCACCAGTGTGACAGCTCCGCCGAGGGCCCCCGGGGCACCAGTGTGACAGCTCCGCCGAGGGCCCCCGGGGCACCAGTGTGACAGCTCCGCCGAGGGCCCCCGGGGCACCAGTGTGACAGCTCCGCCGAGGGCCCCCGGGGCACCAGTGTGACAGCTCCGCCGAGGGCCCCCGGGGCACCAGTGTGACAGCTCCGCCGAGGGCCCCCGGGGCACCAGTGTGACAGCTCCGCCGAGGGCCCCCGGGGCACCAGTGTGACAGCTCCGCCGAGGGCCCCCGGGGCACCAGTGTGACAGCTCCGCCGAGGGCCCCCGGGGCACCAGTGTGACAGCTCCGCCGAGGGCCCCCGGGGCACCAGTGTGACAGCTCCGCCGAGGGCCCCCGGGGCACCAGTGTGACAGCTCCGCCGAGGGCCCCCGGGGCACCAGTGTGACAGCTCCGCCGAGGGCCCCCGGGGCACCAGTGTGACAGCTCCGCCGAGGGCCCCCGGGGCACCAGTGTGACAGCTCCGCCGAGGGCCCCCGGGGCACCAGTGTGACAGCTCCGCCGAGGGCCCCCGGGGCACCAGTGTGACAGCTCCGCCGAGGGCCCCCGGGGCACCAGTGTGACAGCTCCGCCGAGGGCCCCCGGGGCACCAGTGTGACAGCTCCGCCGAGGGCCCCCGGGGCACCAGTGTGACAGCTCCGCCGAGGGCCCCCGGGGCACCAGTGTGACAGCTCCGCCGAGGGCCCCCGGGGCACCAGTGTGACAGCTCCGCCGAGGGCCCCCGGGGCACCAGTGTGACAGCTCCGCCGAGGGCCCCCGGGGCACCAGTGTGACAGCTCCGCCGAGGGCCCCCGGGGCACCAGTGTGACAGCTCCGCCGAGGGCCCCCGGGGCACCAGTGTGACAGCTCCGCCGAGGGCCCCCGGGGCACCAGTGTGACAGCTCCGCCGAGGGCCCCCGGGGCACCAGTGTGACAGCTCCGCCGAGGGCCCCCGGGGCACCAGTGTGACAGCTCCGCCGAGGGCCCCCGGGGCACCAGTGTGACAGCTCCGCCGAGGGCCCCCGGGGCACCAGTGTGACAGCTCCGCCGAGGGCCCCCGGGGCACCAGTGTGACAGCTCCGCCGAGGGCCCCCGGGCTCCTCACTGAACCCTCCCCACATGCTCACGCTGGCTCTCAGGTGCAGTGAGGCAGAGGCCGGCAGGGCAGAACTGATCTTCAGCGTGAAGTGGGTTGGCCCTGCTCCTGCTCTGGGGCTGGGGACCAGGCCCGACTATTTCAGCAGGGGGGTGCTACATCGGGACGACATTCCCATGGGCCACATGCGCAGCGGGTGTAAATCCGCGCCGCTCCATTGGAGCCTCGGAAGCAAGGCCGGTTTACCCCACCGAGGATCAGGCCTGGCACCCCCCTTGGAACAGAGTCACGGTCTCGGCTCCCCCCTACTGCTCTGGGGCTGGGGACCAGGCCCGACTATTTCAGCAGGGGGGTGCTACATCGGGACGACATTCCCATGGGCCACATGCGCAGCGGGTGTAAATCCGCGCCGCTCCATTGGAGCCTCGGAAGCAAGGCCGGTTTACCCCACCGAGGATCAGGCCTGGCACCCCCCTTGGAACAGAGTCACGGTCTCGGCTCCCCCCTAGTTCTCCGGCACCGGCCTCCTTTCGGGGTCTGTGCCGCATCTGGCTGCGATCAGCTGGAGCAGCCTCTCTGCATCTCCCGTCTCTCCGGCAACCCTCCCTCTTCTCCCAGCGCCTGCCTCGCCATCTCCTGGCTGAGGGTTTCTGTGGCCAACCAGCTCCCCCTGCGCCG